AATCATGAGTCAAGCTTTCACGTACTAATAACTCCAAATATATGTGTATAAAATGTATATAGATAGAATCAGAGAAGACAATAAATTCCAAATCATCAAAATGATTCTATATATAAAAAAATTCCGTCACATAACTACCAACACGGTCAATCATGGAAATTTAAATTTAAATTAGAAGTCAAAGGAGTCAAATTTTCCACACCTAAACTTGTTAACAAAACAAAAAGCCAACCCAGTAATTGTTTTACAGTACCAAACTATCACGAAAACATTTTCAATAACAAATTCATGAGGAAACAAAAAGAGATGGAGTTCATGGCCACAAACCTTATTTTAATTATTAAACTAACTTATAAAATAAATTACAAATCATTCATATTTTCTCATTTTTAATTATTTAATCTAAGTTTAACTTATAAAATAAATTACAAATCATTCATGTTTTCTCATTTTTAATTATTTAATCTAAGTTTTAAAAAAATTAAGAAGAGTTAGCTTGGAAGGCTGTCCAAACTTAAGCCCCTTTTTGCACGGCATAATAGGCTGGTTTTGGAAGCCTCGTTATACTGAAAATATCTGATTTCTCAATCTAAATACTTATAAAAATGGTTTAAATGGATTGCCTGTCAAGCCTGATCATATTCCTCAGTATTTGCACAATCCTCGTTGGATTTTCATCCTATGCCCTCAGAAATGATGAGAATAGATGCATGCTACTAAAAAAATATCTGGTATGTCTAGATCAAATTTGCACAACCCTTATGTAAGTTTTTTATTATTGTAAATTTAATACTTTCATATTTTAACATATATATAATCTAAAATGATGATAATCATCCAACTGTGTACTTTTTTAAGAATAAATTATTTGTTAAAAATTATGAAATTTAACTTTAATTTTGGACCATCTAAATTAGATTAATTAAACGATCCATTGCAATAAGATGAGGGTCTTGAGGTTTGGTTAGATATATCAAATATATAGAATATAAAAGTTTGTATGCATAAATTTATCTTTTGTAAAGTTTGAAATATTTTTTTTATAGTATCGGACAAAAAAAGATTCATTTTCTGATAAATATTAAAACATTATAAGCCTAAAACGTATGAGAAACATTGCAGGTGCAGGAGAAAGAAGAAGAAACAGTTTTTTAATCTTAACACATGCTCACTGATATGTGCAAATGCTAGTTCTTGTATTGTGCCTAACTTGAGTTTTGCATCTGGTTCTCTCTCTCATTAATTGATATTTTCTTTCAGATTTTATTTCACAAGAATCAGTATATTTTTTCTTTTGCTGTCATTTTTATTGTATATTTTATGAAGTGAATCTTCCATTGGTAGCATAGAATTAGAAAAACAAGCGAGATACATTGTATTAGAGTGACTTACAGTAACTTTATATTGATGTAATTCATGTTATGAGATTTATTTTAATATTCTCAAAATTGATATAGTAATAAAAAATTATAGAAGATTAGATACTTGATAACAGTTCAACAGCATAGTGGGAATTCTTATAGGTGAGTGCAAATTTTCATATTCATTAATTTAGTTTTGTGGTAATCTCCTCTGCTTTAGACATTTTGGCAGCAAAGTATAGACAATTTTATTTACATCAACAAATTGTTATTAAAATAAAAAAAATAAATAAATTTAAATCGCCATCCGTAAGTTGATAAGACGTACGTCCACATATTTTTGGCATGTCTCCAAATGTCATTATTCATCTTCATTACTATACTTTTTCCTTGCTATCGAAAGTTTTGGATTAACACGCCAGCAATATATATATATATATATATATATATGGACTTATGAGTTATTATGATCCTGAGAACGTCAATGAGGGAATCCCATCACACCTAATTGTAAACGATGATTCATTTGAAATATTTTAAAACATTATCAGATTACTAAAATAAAAATTAGTAAATTTTTAAATCATCATCCTTGACAAGATACCCACATTTTTCGTGCGTGCTCAAATATATATTATCATTCTTATCCTTTTATGTTACTAATTACTGTATACTTCTCCCCAATCATAATATATAATATTTTTTAAGTCTTATTTGATAATAAATGTAGTGCATTAGATAGTTTTTTTTTTTTAATATGAAGACAAAGTTAAGAAACATAATGTACAGGAAAAATGTCTTTAGGCTAAATTATTACAAAACAACCTGGGAGGAAAACTAAATATAGAACAAAATAAATCAGTTTTTATAATTTTTCAACTATACTCGTTCTTTATTTATTACTTTTTTTAAAATAATGATGTAATGAAATGTTAATGATCATTATTAAAGAATTTATATAGGATATTTGATAAGGATATAATTAAAAAGATATAAAAAATTTAAAAGATTAATATTTTATCTAATTTTTTTGAGAATCAAAAAGTAATTATCAATGTCTTATATATTGTGATCTACTAAGAATTGTGTGTGTGGGGGTGTGTGTTAACTAGCTATAATTTTTTTAAGGATAGCCTCTAGTAATAACCAGTGGCGGAAAAATAGTCGGTGGGTGGGGGCATAATTTACACCAAAAATAAATATTAATATTTTTAATTTAAGTATTTATTAAAATAGATTAAATATGTAATATAATAAGATTAATTACTAAAAATAAAAAATATATAAAATTATAATACAATAAAAATTGTATTTAAATTTTAATTACCTTTTCTATTTGTTAGAATCATTTTTTATTTCTACTAAATATAATCTATATATCTCTTTTGCATTGAAGATAATTTTTTTGTGATATTTTTTGATAAAAATATTTTTTCTAAACTATTACTTATCCATTATGAATTGCTATTTAAGGTTTTAACACAATGATAAGATTTTATCCTTTTAGCTTCTAACACAATGATAAGATTTTTTATTGGGATAGGTGAAATTTTTCAACTGGACAAGTGATTTTTTCTTTTTTTAATGAGGGCAAGTGAAAATTTTTAAGGAGAGCAAATAAATTTATGTGAGTAATGTTATAATATACCAATTTTTTCCTAGCATGTGGGGCAGCCCCAACTTAGGTACGTCCCTGGTAATAACAAAGACTTTAATCACTTTTTTTTTTTTATAAAAGTTGGAATGTAAAATTTTCTTAGACTATATTTTCTATGTGTATAAAGAATTGAGAATCAAATTTTCTTGACTATAATCACTTAAAACAAGATTTCCAATTACTCATGTCGATTTAAATTTGTAACCACGTATCCTTGTTACGAAATTAACTTTTTTGGACAAAAAAGATTATGCAATTATTGATGATCAATTTTGATATTGAGATCTGGAAAATGGTTTCTTGACACGTGTTCAAAGGAAGAAATTGTCTATGTTTGAATGATTAATTTTTTACTGTTTCCGAAGTTCTAGAAATGCATGAATTAATTCAGCGTTTCACAAGTGGATGAGTTTTATGATGCATGTATACTCTTCTGATCCATAATATAAGTTCAGCTTATCTACATAAGCACAAACCAAGGACGGTAGTTAAATGGATGTAGGTTCATTAAAAATGTAAGATAATTAACAAATGAGTGTGACACAGATGATAACAATTTGGGCTTTTGAAATATTATTTTAGAACTTGATTTGTACATAAAAAAATGATTTGATAAAAATGATTTATTTTATTTCATTGAAAAACATAAATTTTTTTATTTTAAAAAAGAAAACTTGATAAAATTCACGAATTCTCAAATTTACAAGGTTTAAATGCTAAAAAAAAATGGTTATAACATAGAGACAACAAAAGATGTGTCTAGGGAAAAAAAAAAAAAACGAAGGTACGACGTTAATGCAATCGAATCTCAGTGCTTTTGCGAAGTTTTGCTTTCACATAAATGTCGAGGACAGAATTGACAATGGTCGTGTCGTGACTAAACAGCAACAATATCACATATTTTGCATTAGAAGAATCTCAAATATTTCGTAAAAAATGGTAGGAAATTAAGTGGGAGTTGATGTCGGGAAAAAGAAGGAAATTCCTATACACCAAGTAAAATTAGACTGAAAAAAAGGTATATAAGTAAAAAAACATTCATAAATTCATAATTTTGATTTGGAATTAAAATGGGCTATACAACACATTCAGCGTAATAACATAATTATATATATTGGCATAACCTCTTACCAAAGCATTTTGATTATTAAGGAGAGGTGATTAAGTAATTAATTTTGTCTGGAAAAACAAACTTCCAATTTTATCTATTACATTCTCTCCTTCATGGTTAATAAATTTAAATAGAAGTAATATTAGAAAAATGTAATTAATACCTTTTTAAGAAATATTAATTTATTGTAAAATGTGTTTTATAATAAGTACTGAAAAGAGTAATTGTGGGAGACAAATGAGGATGATATTTTATAGGATGAAAACAAAATTTTCAACTAATTAACTCGATGCATTTAGGATCAGAGACATCATCATCATCATTAATAATAAAAATACAAACTTATATTTTTATTGCATATATACACATGTTGAGTGAAATATTATATTTTCTTCAAAAACATTAAAAGGAAGTCCTTGAAACAAAGGACATAAACATAACATTTGTCTGTTGTACTGTAACTCCTTAATTAATTACTCCTCTCTTAAAATCTTGCGTCCTTGCAATAATATTTTAATCCACAGTCATTAACTGCGACTAATACTTTTATGATAATATTTTAATCGAGACTTACTGATAGTTAAATAAACATGATCTATGACACTGGAAAATAATTATTTCTCTTACGGTGAAAGTGATATATGATTTCCACTAAAGACAAATGCCATTGGTATTAGGAGATTAGGCTTTGAAAAATATGCAACTGGGTCGCTATCGCCAGATAATATTGGGTCCAGACAGAAATAATTAAGGAAAATTATTTGAAGAAGTTGTGAATCCAGTACTAGCTTGGATTGTGTGTAGGGTCAACGAAGCTAGGATTTGACGTATAGATCCACTACTTCTTCACAAATTACTTGTATATTTTGATTTTGAGGTGTGTATGATTGAAGCTATATGGCTCTTACTAGTAATTTGGGTCCCAACCGATCATGAAGTACGTACCATGGATTGTCTATATAAGGCAATGAAGCGAGCGATCTCTTCTCACACAAGTCCCATTTTGATAGATTTACAACTTCATACAAATCATCTATTTTGATTTGATTTTAAGATTAGTGTATCTTTGAAGCTATGGCTCTTACTGGTAACTTGGAGGTTGAAATTGAGATCCAGTCACCAGCCATTGAGTTCTTCAACTTCTTCACTAAGCAACTTCACAATCTTCCTAACGCCACTGGCAGCGTTCATTCAGGCGAGCTTCATCAAGGAGACGATTGGCACGCCCTTGGATCTGTGAAGAAATGGTCTTATACTGTCGGTAAGGTTCTTTATTTTAACTTTAAGGAAATGGTGATAACAATTCTCGTCCTTCGATTTGCATATATTTCTTCTTTTAAGTTATGATCGGTGTTAACTGATAAATCTGATGGGTAAATATAGTTGAAAGTACCAAATCAGTTTGATTGAAAAATATTCTCCTGATTAAGATTTTACTTGAGAGGCACATGCTTTAAAGTGTCATGCTTGTTTTGATGGCCAAAGAAGAAAATTCATTGAAACAAAGAGTCACAGTACAAGTAGCAAAGGAAGAACAGCACGGTAGAGCTGTTAGGAAGATATTGCCCGAAAATGAAAATAAAAACAAAGGCAACAAGGACACCGCATCTTAAATGATCAAAATTTCAAAACTCATATTTATGGTCCTTTCACAATTATACACACACTCCCCCCATCCCATTTTATATCTAAGAGAATTATTTTGAGGTGATTTAATTAGTATCCTAAGACGTTTTAAAAAAAATAAGGTTGTATTATTGATAATCATTCTAATATTACTTTCATTATTTTTCTTCTTAAATAAATTTCTTTCCCTCTCTCTTATTACTGAAGGGTTTAAAATTAAGATTTTAAATTATATTTAATGAATTTTATTGGTATATACAATTTTGTAAAAAAAAATAAACACCTTATAAATTAGAACAGAGGAAGTACATATTATATTTTAAGCCTAATTTTATATGAGACTTAATTCCTTCATCCAATCAAGATAGACTTGAATATCATAACAAAAGCAAAATTGAGAAAACGACTAGATAACAATGAAATATATCATATAACCTACAAAAGATCACAAAACTACAGGGACTAGGGGTTTGGAAACAGTAACTTTTTACATAGAGCGCTTTAAATATAGGTTTTGGTAATTTTCTGCATGCAATTGCTAGTTGATCATGGTTGGTTAGTAATTTTGATAATTAATGTATTAAATATATCATTGGAAACTTCTATAGTTCTATTCTGCTTAAAATCTAACAATTGGATCAAGGGTAAATTGTTGTTGACACTGATTTACTTGTGTAATGAGAACAAATTAAAAGATGGAAAGGTGGTGACATGCAAGGAGAGAATTGAAGAGATTGATGAAGAGAACAAATCAATGAAAGTGGACTTCTTCGAAGGAGATGTTAAGGAGCAACACAAGAGTTTCAAGATCATAGTGAAAGCCACCGACAAGGAAGGAGGTGGTGCTATTGCAAAGTTTAGCTTCTTTTACGAGAAGATCCATGACGGAATCTCAGATCCAAAAGGCTACTTGGACTTGGCAAAATCCATGGCAAAAGATATTGATGCTTATCTTCTCAGTGCACAAAAGGGAAAGTAGTAAACTAGAACAAGTAAAACATGGATCCAAAGTACGTGTGAGATTAATGAGTAAACTAAATTAAAGAATAAGCTATGGATTGTGGTGTAATCCGATGTCGAAAGTACTGTGTGTAATGAAGTAAAGAATAAGGCCTGTGCTGTTGAGTTCATCATGCAGCACTGTGGAATCGTCTGTGTCAAAATTGTGTTTGAATGCTTTTATGATTCATGCATCAATTTTAGGCATGCATGCATGTGTGTGTGTGTGTTGAAATTATGTGAATTAATATGCTTTTACTATGAGGTACTTATGGGTTGGCCTTGAGATGAATATGTAGCTTTGAGCCTTTGAATCTTTATCCTTTGAATAATTATTAAGCCTTACGTCCGAAAATTGCTTTTGCAAAACTGAATTTTAAAAAATCAGTTTTTGAAACGATATTTTGTTTAACTGATAGCCAAACATGCACTACATATGGAATTAGAAATAAAACCATATCTAATGCCTGTATAGCTATTGGGTTTAAGTCATGTTTGGCAAAGCTATTAGGGGATGCTATCATGTAACCTAGGCGAGGCACAACTAACATTCGTTTAATAATGCATGCGTTGCCTTCACAAAGCAGCGATCATGCTTCCTAAGAGTCAATATGTTTGGTATTAAGTATAATGAAATGATTTTTATGAGAATGAGTAAAAGACTAATGGAAATTGCAATGAAAAAGGAAAATGGGTCTTCATAAAAAAACCAATTTGCATATTTTGTATGAAAAAATAATAGAAATATTTGAACATAAAATTTATCAAAATAAGTAAATGACACAAATGCCTTTTATTTAAAAAAACAGAAATAATTAGTATTAAACTACAAATAAGTATGATCATTTTTGTTCTTGAAAATTTTAAAGGAAGTAAATATTTCCTTAGCGATATATCTTGCGGAAGGCTAATCCTTATGTGGGGGAGCTTCCCAATAAAAGAATTATAATGGCCTATCAAATACACATGAAGGGAAATTTATCACTCACACTCCCCTTTTCTTAAACCTCTTATTATCTATATCTATACCGAACACAATCTCAGTGGTGAATTTTAATTTGAGTTCCATTAGCAATGAATATATGTAATAGTGCTGCATAACAGATAGACTAAGCCAGAGAGCCTAATTCGAAGTTTAGTCTATTTCATGAATGGGTTGACTTAGGTAGCCTATGGTTTGGTTTGGCCTAAAAATAATCCAAGGTTGGGCGATATCAAACTTGATCTATAAAACTAAAAAACTGTGTAGGTGCTGTTCAAAACCTTAATTTACTTATTTCTTTTTTCTTTTTCTTTATGGAAGGAAACAATTCAATGAAATAAACTCAATTAAAACAAAAAAAAATACTTATAATTAGATAAAACATTAAAACTTAATTATAAATTCAAAACAATCTCCAACAACATTAAGCAGAGAGAACTTATTTATAGTCTCTAAAGTGAATGTAGGGAGAGGCCAGGTCTTGAAGTGAATGAAAACGTCTTGTTGAATGATAGCGTTCAACACTTAACTATGTGGAAAAAAAAATTCTCTTTCCAAACCAATGGACAAAGTGATCTGATAGTTTAATCTCTTGTTTAGTCTAGTCCAAATAGAACTGTTGGTCTGGTTGCAGTCTTATAGTTTTTGCATTGGGCCAATTTTTTTCCAGGCTGAGCTAGGCTGGGTTCTGTGAAGTTACATAGGGTTGTACTATACAATTGGATTTTTGCAGAGTCCTAAAGTTGTGTGTGGTGCCTGGATAATTTTTGAATCATGAAGGAATATAAAACATGTTGCCATGGCTGCTGAAATGTCATATTAGTATTACTAGATATTTCCTATCTTATTTATAAATTACTTTTAATATGTTTCACCAAAATTAAGAAAAATTTTAAAACCCATTCATTCTATCTAAAAATTTAATATATTCTCAACTTTACTTATTAAATATATGTATTTTAATAATATATTTTCTATCTCCAACATTTAATAGAGGTTAATTGAAAGAAAAAATTTATAATAAAAATTTATTGTTATGACTTATAAATAGAACTAAAAAAATATTCTCTCTCTGTCCTTATGAATAGAACCAAAGGAAGTATTAGAAATATTATATATATATATATATATATATATAAGATGTTTGCTGCAAATGTATTCTAAATTGGTTGTAGTGGTTGTCTTCATTATCAAAAAAATAATAATAATGAAATTTTCATATTTCTCACATTTGTTTTAATTATTGATTTTGCTCCCTTAAGTTTAATTTTTATTAATCCAATTCCTTATAATTACATTTTCCTAAAGTTTTAAAATGGTCAATAGCTGCCAATCATCAGTCAGCACCAGTCAGCTCCAATTAAAGGAGTGCGAGTTTAAGGGCATCTGTTTCATTTTACTTGATAAATTAATTATAATCGAGTTCTATATAACTTAAGAGTATTTTTACAAATCTATGAGATTTATTTATAAGTAAGTTTCTTATTGAGACCTATTTATAATTTTCTATTTAGTTTAAGCGGGAATAACGTTGTTTGGGATAACAAATTATTCTTCATATTTGTTCTGTCTCTCTCCCCCCCATATATGACAACAAATTATTTTATGCTTGAGGAATTGATAATTAAGGTATAAATGAGCTATGAGTGTTTATCTCTGATAATTTCTCTAAGTTATAAGCTCTACCCGTATTAGTATGAACTCTTAAAAGTTTCTAAGCCTTTTATTCGCGAAAACTCTTTGGTTTGTGCATTTAATACAACCAAAGATCCTTATGAGGTTTAGCTCGGCATATTCCTTAATTCCATTTATTTTTAAAAAACCTTTCACTGAGTATAGAGCTTCATTTGTTCACAAGTGTTTGGGTATTAAAATATTTATACCAGCATGAGAGACTTGATCTATTTCTAGTTTAAGGGTATGACAATACCGGTACAAGCATCGTTATATCAGTACTTAGTGTCAATTTCCTAAAAACTTGGTCCTTACTAGTACTAGTTCATTTTATTCTATTCTTGCCTCAGTACTGGTACTTTTAGCCTTTGACTAGTACTATTTCTTCTACCCACGCTACTCATTCAATACCAGTACATAAGGTCTTTTGAGTTAACGTCTTTTATGTAAAACTCTCCCGGTACTACTCAAACTCTACCCATGCTGCTTTGGGCTTTCATTGTCTTTAATGTTCTTGACAATACTTGTATTCCTAAGGTTCTACCGATACTATCATGAAGATTTTAGCTCTATTTTTCATTCCAAATCTTGTGAGATTGGAGTCAAACTAGCTTCTCATTCCTTTCACCTTCTATGAGTTGTGTCAGTCCCTTTATTCATCTAGAAGCTTTCTAAACACAATCTTCAGTAGAATCAAATACCTTTCAATTATTAATATCTTCTTTCTATCCATATTGCATTTATCTCTATCAGTATTCATCTACCTACCTTTTGTCAAAGCAATAAATACACATAGCCATTACTTTTTTACTTACCATGAGTGCAAAATTCTGCTGAAAAGCACCATGCCACTGCCATACTTTCACAGTAGCTCAAAAGAAAAGAGCAAGATGATACTAACAACTAATTAAATGTGTTTAATGGATCATTAATCGACTCCAACTGTAAATAGACACATTTATAAAGACAAAAAAAGTACAGTTATTGCATGAACCTGCACATTCAATATTCAACCAACCTTCTATTATTATATTTATTGTATCTTATCGTTATTGATTGTAAATTCACTCTTAAAGAGAGTTATTGACAATAATTGTTTATTCTTGAACATATTCTGTTTATCTTTATCTTATAACCTTGAAATAGATGACTTAAGCTTGAAGAGATTGAGAGGATTATATTATTATTTTGCAAAGTGAGTTGTATTGTGAAATTTGAGGTTGTATTGTGGCAACTAGGAGCCCGTATTAATTTTGGTAGAATAAAAAAAATATCAAGTGTGACTTGAGGACTAAACATAAGTTCAAATGATTGGAGTTAAACTAGGATAAATTCTCATGCTAGCTTCTCTCTCTCTCTCTCTCAAAATTTTTGGTGACATTATTCCTAACATATATATTTTATTATGCAATTTTTGTCAATATTTTGTTAAGCTCAATTCACCCCCAACTAGATGCTTTTACACATCCTACTATAGATCTACCATGAGACGAACAATAACTATTTTTTTTCTTTCTTTCTAAATTTTATATATTAAAAAATTAAGTAGATCTTTTTTTTGATAAAGATTATGTAGATCTACACCATATGTTATTTGGAACAGTTGGATACTAAATATAGACACTTTTTTTAATGAGGATTTGAACATTAGTTTACCACATTGTGAAGGACTTATTCCTTCCGTTGGGCCCAATTGTTGTTGATAATTTGTCTTAGATTTTAATTCACACAAGGGAATTAGTAATATATCCAATTATATCTTGGAGCCAATAACTCAAGTCAAGTCCAACAAGCCAATTGGAATAAGTACCAACAAATTCAAGACCTAGCTTTACAAAATTTATATCTTTAATGTTTGAGCCATGCCCGAATCCCAATCGGGTTTAAGCTTAGCCTAAATACCACTTTAATTTTTTAAACAAAATATAAAATATATTAAATATTAATTATCTTTTAACTCTTAGTTCATTTTATACAATCAGACCATATAATTGAGTTCATTATGATAGATATTCTATTAAAAAAATTGAAAACATTAATATTATTATATTTGTATTATTTTTATCTATAAAATATCTTAAAATAATATTTAAATGTATTTTAATCTTGATTTTTAAACTTTAAGACCCACACTTTTTAAATAATTTGAGTCCTCTACTTTTTTAAGTTTTGCAAGCAATATATTTTATAATAAAAAATAATTAATTTGAAAGTAAAAATTGAATTTTTTAAAAAGTACAAATAAAAATTGACAATGCAGATATTTAGACTGTTTAGAATAAGTCCAAAGCTCAAGAGAGTATTAGGGTCAAGCTTGACTAAATTTTTCTTAAGTTTAGGTTTATTAAGACTATTCTGAATAAGTTCAACTTGAACCAAATTCAGTCCAAATAAACTCAACCTGTCTAAATGACAGACTCTTGTATGTTTCTTTGTGAGGCAAGTTCTCTTCTTTAATTCATTTTTAAGAATGAATTATTTACTAATACCCTATATTTTGATATGGAAGAAATATTATATTAGTCTTTTCATACTTAATCTTTTTGATCTCATATATATATACAACAACAACAACAAGCCTTTATCCCACTAGGTGGGGTCGGCTACATGGATTGCAAGACGCCATTGTGCTCTATCATTTATTAAGCTTTTAGAAATATTATTAATTAAGAGATCACGTTCAACAACTTCCAAGAGTGTTCTCTTAGGCCTTCCTCTACCTCTCTTGATCTCATATATATATATAAGCAAAAATAATTGTTTCATCATAAGGTTTAAGTTGGTTTTTTTCTTGATTATGTACGAGATTGAAGCCAATTAATAATTAACCCTAAACTCCAATATACTCTTTTTGGTTCCTATTATAAGACACTTTAACTATCTCACTGGAACCAAAAAGAGGTTAAATTATAAATTTTATTTGAAAATAGAATAACCTTTCAAATTTCACCTCTATTTAAATGAAAATAATTTAAATTTATATTACATTCACTTTCATAGTGAATGAATTTACAAGGAGATAGTATTGGAAAAAAAATATCATTAATACCTCCACAAAGTTTCTTATATTAAGGATTAAGAAATTTTTCTAGAAAGTGCCAATAAAAGGAAGTAGAGGGAGTAATCTCCTTATATTATAAAATCTGTCGATCACGGTTGATGAACAGTTTATCTACAGTGTTTTTTAAAATTATTTTTTATTAATGTTATTAATCCACGTAAGTTCCCGTGATGTTTTCGAATTTTGTCACAGAACCAAAATCAAATAGATATATATGAAAAAACAAAAATAAAATAAAACTGATACTCAGGGCAGAAACCAATAATTAAAAATAAAAATAGGATTACAAAATAATAAAAAAGAAAAAACAACTCTAAACAACTATCAATCAAGAGAACTGGATCTAATTAATAAAATAAACAAAATAGCTACCAAAATCAAAATCCAATTACAACCATAGAGAAATCAAATATGAACTAAAGGAAAGAAAACCATTAAACGATTATTGCAAAATAAAATAACACAAAGCATTTCGGAGATAAAAAATTGAAAAAATACGTAAAGTATAGCACTATAGCATATCTAAACAAAAAAGTCAGAAAAATATAAGGAAGAATTATTTTACGGCCCCACTCAACACAATTAATTAATCTCAGGTTCATTGACAACTGAGTTTAGGAAAATGCTCTTAAGCTTAATTGTCAATAGACTTGAAAGTAATTAATTAGGATGAGTAGGACTTGTATGTAATCTTCCTATGGTATAATTATGCAACATATTCTTATAAATAAATGTTGTAAGATTCAATATTTATTAAGAAAAGCAACAAAAGAAGATGATGAAAAGAAAATAAAAAAAGGCAGGATTTAGAAATTCCATTCTTGACTTCATTAGTCGTTCGATTCTCAAAGGTAAAAACCAGGGAAGAGAACGTGTGAGGGTGAGACTTGAGAGTGGGATGAGTAAGGAAGTGATCATCAGTTGTGTTCGTTGGTGTAAAATATTTACCGATGAATGGAAATAATCAATGGCTCTAAGGCTATGATTCGTGTGCTCGTCATCAAATATTGAGGAAAATATATATAATCTCTCTTTAGTACTTATAGGATAGAGAGAGAGAATTTTTTTATTCTATATTTTAATGAGCTGACTTATAAATAAAAATCTGTATATTTAATAGGAGAACTAACGGCACATTAACAGAAAGGCAATTTTGCTTCTCTAAAAAATAATTCAAAGATAAATTTGTTTCATTTAAGAGTTCAGGGTGCTCAGCACTACTTAAAAATAAGTACAGAAATAAAATTAGACCTTAACTTAAAAAAATTAGTTTTGTTAATTATTTGTAAAAAATGTGTTTGTTTTTTTTTAATATTTCTAATTTTAATTATATTGTACATTGAAAACTACATCTATTGATTGCAATCAGTAATAAATAGAGGAACTTTCAGAGAAGAATAGTCCTCCTTCCAATTCCTATTATAAGACACCTCTAATCACCTTAGCTTACTGAAACTAAAGAAAGGTGATTAAGTAATTATTAACTTTATTTGAAAAAATAAACTTCCTATTTTATCCATATTTAAATAAAAAATTTAAATTTACATTACATTTTCGATCATAGTTAATGAATTTAACTGGAAGTAATATTAGAAAAATGTAATTAATATCCCATCAAGTATTTTATATTAAGTACCATAATTTTTTTATAGAATGTGGCTTATAATAAAAATTAGAATGAGTAATTGTGAGAGACAAATGAGGACCATATCTTATATTTATAGGGTCAAAACAAAATTTTCAACTATAACTCGCTACATATAGGATCGGAGACAAAAAGTTATATTTTTATTGCATTCACATGTTGAGTGAAATATTATATTTCTTCAAAAATATTAAGATTGATTAAAATATTATTGCTTGAAACAGTGGATATAATCATGACATTTGTCTTGTGCTGCATCTCCCAAGTACTCTCTTACTAAAATCTTGAGTCGATCTGGCAATAATATTTTAATCCACAGTCATGAACTGCAACTAATAATTTTATGACGATATTTTAGCCGCAACTTTTGATATTTAAATAAATTTGATGTATGACCCTCGAAAATAATTATCTCTCTCACAGTGAAAGTGATGTATGATTTCCACTAAAGACAAATATTATTGGCACTGGAAGATTAGGTTCTGAAAAACATGCACCGCGTCGCTATCGCCAGATAATATTGGGTCCCAAACAGAAATAATGAAGGAAATTTATTTGAAGGTTTGAATCCACTACAAGCATGGATTGTGTGTGTGTAAGGACATGAAGCTAGCATTTGATATATAGATCCACCACTTCACATATTACTTGTATATTTTGATTTTGAGATCAGAGTGTCATTGAAGCGATGGCTCTTACTGGCAATTTGGAGGTTGAAATTGAGATCCAGTCACCTGCTATTGAGTTCTTCAACTTCTTCACTAAGCAACTACACAATCTTCCAAACGCCACTGGCAGTGTCCATGTAGGTGAGCTTCATCAAGGAGATGACTGGCACGCCATTGGATCTGTGAAGCAATGGTCTTATACTGTTGGTAAGATTCTATAAATTCGTTTTCACGAACTGTTTACACCCTAGAATAAAAAAAAGGTTTACAGGAGTGCTCTTATCAAAGCGATTTTGTAAAACAAAAAAAAAAAAATAATCCTAAACTTCAAGGTAGAACCAGCGGGACGCTACCTAACATAAGCACTCTCATAGATCTACCCTACTGGAATGCTTACTAAGCTCTCCCATATGTTACAAAGCACTTTTGAAACGCTTCCGTTGATTTTTTTTTTGTTATAATAGCGTTAGAAATATTTGTAGGTCAAGTTGAAATTATGAAAACGAAGATAACTCAATCCCATTCTTTATTGTGCATTTGCCGAATTGTTTTTTGGCATTTACATTTAATTTATACAAATGGAAACAAACAGACGGTAAGGTGGTGACATGTAAGGAGAAAATTGAAGCGATTGATGAAGAGAGCAAATCACTGAACGTGGACTTCTCCGAAGGAGACATTAAGGATCAATACAAGAGTTTCAAGTTCATAATAAAAGCTACTGACAAGGAAGGAGGTGGTGCTGTTGCAAAGTGGAGCTTCTCCTATGAGAAGATCCATGACGGAATCCCAGATCCAAAAGGCCATGTCGACTTTGTAACCTCCTTACAAAAGATGTTGATGCTTATCTTCTCAGTTCACATGGCAAATGAATTGGATCAGCAAGTGAAAATCCAAAGTGCGAGGAATGAGCAAACTAATGAATAAGGTTTTGTGCTGTTGAGTTCATACATGCGCATTGTGTGATCAGATGTCTAGTGTGTGATGAATTATTAAAGAATAAGATGTGTGCTGTTGTTGAGTTACGTTCATTCACTGTAATTATATGTGAAAAGTTAATTTGAATGCTTTTATGATCGGTGTGTTTAACGTTTATGCCAAGAATGTGAAAGCTTTTATGATTTAATAAAAACGTTGGTCTTTGATGAATATTGTTTGAATCTTCATCTTCTTCGTATGCTTACCTTAATCTTTTGATTATTTATTTAATCACTGGAAGTTAACTATTATTCCGCTTTAAATCTACCGATTGGACTAATTGAGAGTGGAAGACAAACGAGATTTTCATTTTTTACATTGTTATATAACATCTTCCGTAAAATATTTAGCATAAAATATAAATATTTAAGTACATAATTTCTCTTTCCCCTTTCTTGTAGAAATAGGCTTTAGGGTAAGGATATATGTTAAATATTATGGAGAGCAACCGGCCTTGAGAGAAAATATGAATGGACGAAGAAAAGTAAAAAGACATCACATTTTTTTCTTTTGGGACAACAAAATACATCACATTATATGATAATACTAGTCAAAAATGGGGAGCGATGCCTAAAAATGGAAAAGAGAATAAATGCACGAAAATTAATAGAATGATATCATATCTTAACTCAAAATTTTAAAATGCAAGTTTATTATGAATAGTTTCTTTTTATTATATATTCCCTCTGTTAAAAAATGTAAGGCATTTTTTTAAGAGTTAGATGTTTAAAAATATAAGGCATTTTTTGTCTTTTGAGGTGTAATCATTATCTTTTTTTTTCAAAAGTGTCCCTACTGATAAATGACTTTATTTCATTCTAGGGTATTTAGTAGGAATAAATATAAAAGATAGGGTTAATTTAAAAGTAGGTAACTGTTTTATTGAGAAGTGAGATTCGATTAAAAATGCCTTACATTTTTTAACAGGGAGTATTAATTATTCAGCTCACATTTATCCAATGCAAGATTTTTAATATCATCTTATATCCACATACACTTTTTATATGGTATATATATAAATGATTTTGACTGAAATCTTAAAACATTGAAATGTACAAGAGTTTTTACTAGATTTTTTTTTTTAAATTTTTGCGCACACGTATATATCCGCCTCAGTTCAGTGGGATACTATAAGAGAATATTCTAGCTGACACTAGTCGAGTGTGGATGGTGCCACCTGATTATTAACGAGAAGCAATTTGCCACGTAGTGACGAAATTATGTTCCACTTGCATGCTTCGTGGCAAGGAACACTGATAGTATCAGTGAATGAATCATTCCCATAGAACACCTGTCCCGTAAGACAGATCCAGTAGTACTTGTTCGGTTACATGTAAATTTTGCTGATGTTGAGGTGAGTGTAGGCTAAGGATGGGTCTTACTGGTAAATTGGAGATTGAAATTGAGATCGAGACGCCGGCTTCCAAGTTCTTTAGGCTCTTCCTGGACCAACTTCACCATCTTCCCAACGTCATTGACAGTATCCACCAAGGCGAGCTTCATGAAGGAGACTACTGGCACGACGTTGGCTGTGTCAAGCGACGGACTTACACTGTTGGTAATAACATAATCATTTCTATTTAATTATTATTATCCTATTTTTAATGATGAGACTATTGTTGGGTGTGTTTGTCTAAATGCGGAAAGAGACAGATGGTAAGGTGGTGGCGTGTAAGGAGAGGATTGAGGCGATTGATGAAGAGAACAAGTGGATAAGATTCGAGTTCTTCGAAGGAGATGTTAAGGAGCTGTACAAGAGTTTTAAGATAACACTCAAGGTGTCTGACAAAGAAGCTTCTCGTGGTGGCGCCATTGCTAAGTGGAGTTATGATTATGAGAAGCTCCATGAGGGAGTCCCAGATCCTACAGGTTACTTGGACTTGGCAATCAGCGTCACTCAAGATGCCGATCGACATCTTCTCAAGCCATAATAAACAAACTGAAATGTATACTTCTTCAACGTAACTTCCCAATAAGGTTGCTGTATGTGAGCATACATGATGCTATCTTTTTTTTTTTTTTTTGCTTTTTTCTTATACATGTATTTTATCTGATACATATATTCCCTTCTTTTCATTTCATAATATTCCCTATAATCTCTATTGTAATTAACGTCTTTAAGAATAATTTCTAATTTTAATTGCATTTAAATAAAAAATTTTAAATTTATATTTAATGCTCTCTCATTGGGTTAATATTTGAAAATTTTAATTAATAGCTCATCAACTTGATCCCTTTTAATAAGGAACACTATCTCTTCTAAATTAAAATGTAATTTGTAATAAGGATTAGAGGCTACTTCAAAGGTGAACGTTTGGTACTTTTTATATGGTAATATATTGAATAATTATTGCATTTTTCCATAGTGTCCAATTAATGTTGGTTTTCTTCCCTTTTCTTTTTTCTTTTCGAAAAGATGTTTGCCTATTTTTTTCTGAGTTACACTCTGGATTTCAATAAGGATAAAATTAAAGATTTTATTTTTATTTTTAATAGGCTTAATGAATTTAAACATCTCTTTGATTCTGGTGGTAATTGAAAGTGTCTTATAAAAAAATATCTTGAAGGTAAAGAAGGAATGTGAACATTCATTATTCAGGAGTTCTTTTGATTTTAAATTTCACTTGCAAGGTCAGGTCTTCTCATGGGGCGCTAATGAGAATTCTCTCCATTGTTTTCTTTTTTCTTTTTTTTTCCCCCTCTTTCGTTAAAATGCTAAAATAAAAAATTAGTTAGACCATCTAAATTTAATTTAAACATTTTAAATTAAAATAAAGAGAGTGAAGACAAATCAATGGCTTCACATGTTCAAGAGTGAAAGAAACGTTTATAAATTTATTTCACATGGATTTATTCAATGCTCCGCAATTCGAGTTGTGCAGATTTTCCTCATCTTGATGACTCGAGGAGGTATGTTCTTCAACAATATTAAATGTTACAGGGATATTATTAAGGGAAGGGTGTCTTGCCCTTATATACTTAACATACGTTTATTTTAATATATTAATAATATTAATACTAAAAATAAATAATTTATAATAGATAGACATATTTTGATTATTTTGATTTAATTGAAAACAAGCACCTTAAATATATATGACTAAGTATATATATAAGTTTTTTCCTTTGTAAATCCTTATAGTTTCACTCAATTTTAAATTAGGTCCTAAACCCTTATAAATTCATCTATTATATATATTGACACATGAATGTGAAAATTAATAATGAATTATTAAATTTTACAAAATAAAAATACTCTTGGAGTTCACAAAAATATAATTTAATACTTTTAGCTTTTATAAAAAATTTTGATTTAATCCACTATTGATATTTTTATTGTATTTTTTAATATTATATATATTGACACATGAATGTGAAAATTAAGAAAATAAAAATACTCTTGGAGTTCACAAAAAATATAATTTAAAACTTTTAGCTTTTAAAAAAATTGATTTTATCCACTATTAATATTTTTATTATATTTTTTAATGAAAATTATCTAATTATATAAATTTTGAGTTATAAAAATTATGTGATTAATTCTAAATTTATATATTCATTTAATAAAAATATAAAAGTTCTTAATTTTGTTTTTTTAAAAGGAAAAAGTGTAAGGACTAAATTAAATAAAACTGTAAGGACTTACACATATGTTTTCTCTATTATTATTATGCTAGAATGATTTTTTTAACAAAATGTTTATCTGTAAAATAAATAAAAAACTAGTCAGACGGGGCAGTAATTTTGAGCCTATGGCTCAACCCAGCCCAATTTGGCAAGATATGGTTGCCGGGTCGAGTCAGACCACAACAGGTTCGGGTCATTTATCGATCCATTGAAAAAGTTGTGGACAAGCTAAGCTTCTTGTTTGTTTCGATTTTTTTTTTTTTTTTGGTGGGGGGTACTTTGGACAACTAACGCAAGCAACGTCAAGAGAAAATCAATGAATAAATTTTTTACTATAAAATAATGATATAAAAATAAGGTAAAATGATAATTAGAAACTCATGAGAATATTAATAAAAATTACAAAATTCAATAACAAACCATAATCCCTACTTATAATAAATTATCTATATTGATTGGTTTAAGATTCACAATTTAAACACTACAAAGACTCATGATCGACTTTCATAAATTCCTAACTTATGTTATAAATAATTTTAAATATATTTACTTAATTTTTTAAATAGTTTATCTATATATTGATAATAAAAAATTATAGTTTACAGTTTAATAGATTTTCTAATTAATTATTCATATTTTTTAATTGTAAATAAAAATTATAGTCTGTTATTAGTAATTCAATAACATTAATTGTCATTAATGTTTTTATAGGGTTCTTAATTATCATTTTTAATAAAAATAAAAATTAGAAGGAAAAACATTCAAAGAAAATGGACAAGTATCAGATCTATGCTTATTTCTTTTAAGGAAGACTTCGGGCTATAAACGGATGATGTTGCCAGCGAAGATATGAGGCGGAAATAAACTTAAATATGCCTCTCTCTACTTTTAATTAGAATAATTTTTTTTAATTTTTTTAAAAATTTAATATTAAAAAAATAATTATATATGAAATCTAGAACACTCATGTCAACTACTTTGCAGCAACATAGAGGGGTTGCAATATCAAATTTAGAAACAAACCAACTGTAACGACTTCTATTACAATTTAGGCCGTAAAGCCCTCAATCTCTTCATTAAGGATTATGTGAATTAATAATTAATTATTAATAAATATGTATAATTTTGTGTACAAATTCATATACGAAGACCATTACAACTTGCTCAAGCTGTATGAATAGGAGATATATATATATATATATATATTGTTTCATATCAAATCAATGCACCTTTTCACTGGGGGAAAAACTTTTTGGGATGATATCAAATGACCTTGATGACACGAATAAAGTTGGCAGCGAATATATCAGATGTGGATAAGCTTGTCGGCAAATTTAATCATCCAAGTTGGACTCCTCATTTTCTTTTTCTTTTTTTTTTTGTTGTTGTTTTTTTTCCTCAGATCTCTTCAGAGGACATGTTCTCTGCTCAACTATACTTAACCCTTTTCAATGATTTATTTTTCCTGTAAATTATTAAGCATACACCATACATATGCAGATACAAATACATGCATTTACATATACATACACATACATATGTATCTATCTGTATCATAACTGACAAATATCATTCTTATTTTTCATGAATCAAGAAATAAAATAATAAGACAAATAATTAAGGACCAAATATTTTTAGTGATTACTCTCATTTCTTGATTTACAAATATCAAGACAAATTTACAAGTAAAATTGCAATTAAGATTGAGTAAACTGATGAATAAGGTTTTGTGCTGTTGAGTTCATAAGCATTGTGTGATCAGATATCTAGTGTGTGATGAATTATTAAAGAATAAGATCTGAGCTGTTGTTGAGTTCATTCACTGTGTAATCATACGTGAAAAGTTAATCTGAATGCTTTTATGATCGGTGTATTTAAGGTTTATGTCAAGAATGTGAAAGCTTTTGTGATGTAATTAAGGATTGGTCATTGATGAATATGTTTGAATCTTCATCATCTTCTTATGCATGCCTTCTCGTTCCTTAAAAAGAGGAATACAAGACTTTTTACTAGCTTTTTTTTTTGTGCGTATGTATATATCCGCCTCGGTTCAGTGGGATGCTACGAGAATATTCTAGCTGACACTTGTCGAGTGTGCATGGTGCCACCTGATTATTAATGAGAAGTAGTTTGCCACGTAGTGACAAAATTATGTTCCACGTGCATGCTTCGTGGCAAGGAACGCTGATAGTATCAGTGAATGAATCATTACCTTGGCACACCTGTCCCGTTAGACAGATCCAGTAGTACTTGTTCGGTTCGGTTACATATATATTTTGATGGTGTTGAGGTGAGTGTAGGATAAGGATGGTCTTACTGCATGGTAAATTGGAGATTGAAATTGAGATTGAGACGCCGGCTTCCAACTTCTTTAGGCTCTTCCTGGATCAACTTCACCATCTTCCCAACGTCATTGACAGTATCCACCAAGGCGGCTGGGCTTCATGAAGGAGACAAATGGCACGACGTTGGCTCTGTCTCAATTTGAATAATGATGAATTATTGAAGGTAAAATAGTAAACCATTAATTTCCGGAACTATTGAAATTGAATGATGTGTTTTTTGGTTTTTGAATGCTGAAATAGCAACACGATTAAAAGGTTACAACTCGACATCTAGGAAATAAGATATTCTGGCAATATTTTAATAACACGAGAAAGTTAATGGGGAACAAAAGCAAGAGTGAGTAGATATATAGATCTCAACTAATTCGCACAATAACAAATAATTATATTCATAAAATATTTGATGCCGGAAATGTCATCCCTGCCCTCGGTCACCTCGGTCACCTCGCAGGCTTTTATTATATTTATAAAGGCTCATTGCACCGACGAGTTGTGTGCAAGCTTTTGTTCTGTAATTAAGTTTCAGTGTAGAGGCAGAGATGGCACGTGATCAAGTTGGAAAGCTGGAGACGGACGTGCACATCAAGGCGACGGCAGAGCAGTTCCATGATGTTTTCTGCAGCAGAACTCACCACATCGCCAACGTTTGTCCAGAAAAGATCCAAGGCGTTGAGATTCACGAAGGCGAATGGGGCTCTCAAGGATCCATCATCTTCTGGAACTATGTTCATGGTATATGCATTTAATCTTCCATCATATTTATACGATCATCACTTAAACACGTCTCGCTGACTTTTTATAACTTAGAAACTAAACGGTGTAGCTTCACGACATCAAATTTGTGCAAGAAAGAGAGAGAAAACTGAAAGCCCATACATTGACAGGTGTATAAAGATCAAAGTATGCGGTTCTGAATTATAATTTGAAGTACGTGTTGATATTATAGTCTCCCACCAAACTAGAAATCCAAGACACACACACACACACACATATGAGGGTTTTTCTACTTCAAAACGATTAGGCTTTCTTCTATAAGGCAGACAGACAAGTAGATACGTGTGTGTAACTTGAGATATTAGATCTGTACGTTGGTGTTTTTCTCAGAAATCAGTAATATGGCGCGGGTGAAATTTGAGGTCCTTTCTGCTGTCTCCTCTAATTCATTTGGGGGAATCAGATGAAATTTCACTAATCATTAGCTGAAATAAAAGGCAGGGATTTTGGGCATCAGAGGGAGAACAGACACCTCAAATCCGCCACGGTGCAAGGGATGAGATGAGTTTAAATAAAATATATATAGGCGCATATGGCTTCAACTTGTGCGAGTTGCGTGTTATCCTGATGAATAAATGAAAACATGCAGATGGGAAAAAGTGCGTAGCGAAGGAGCTGGTGGAGTCGATAGACAAAGAGAACAACAAGATAACATTCAAAGTGTTGGAGGGAGATCTGATGGAAGACTACAAGAGTTTCAAGATCATAATTCAAGTGTTGCCTCAGGAGAAAGGAAGTGTGGTTCATTGGGTGATGGAATATGAGAAGCTCAAGGACCACTCTCCTGACCCTCACACTCTGCTTCAGCTAGCGGTTGATGTCAGCAAGGACATCGACGCTCACCTCGTTGCCCAGCAAGACGACGACCAGCAGGCCACCAAATAATTAAATCCGTATATCCATCTCCCATACTATATATATAATATATGTATGTATGTGGTAAATAAAAGCTGATGACGACGATCTCTGTCTGTATGTGCAATCATTAGTGTCTTCTTTGTTGAAGATTATTAAATCGGTCATTGCGATCATCAATCACTTGTGCTCTCTGGTTTGCCTTGTTAACGCCGTATGTATGTACTGCTACTGTGTAATAATGTTTAATGAAATCTAATAGTTTGTGTGCTAGCTTGCACTTTTGAGTGCCTTATTTCTCTCTCTCTTTTCATTTTCATGTCATTTAGAAGCTATTGAACCTATCAAGTGCTAATAAAACTGTAGTCGAACCGCGGTTATAAATAAAATATTTTATTAAACTAATCAAGATATATAGTACTAGTTTAACGTTTTACTAATTTTTTATCCAAATTTTTATACTAGATCGAGGATGTCCCTTTTTGACAGAGATCAAAATTATGCTTAAGATGAAAAAAAAAAAAAACTTGAGAAATTCTAGAAAGAATTGGATAAAAGGTATTCTCTTCACTTTGTTAACTGAACAGAATACATATATAATGAATGAAAGAATATTCCAGTGACTATGAACTGAACAGAATACATATACTGAACAGAATACATATATAATGAATGAAAGAATATTCTAGTGACTATGCGGCAGCTGTACAAGAGAAAGATAACGAAAACCCTAAACCTAATTATGCTTGGGCTTTATGAATGAAAGAATATTCTAATGACTATGCGGCAGCTGTACAAGAGAAAGATAACAAAACCCTAAACCTAATTATGGTTGGGCTTTCTGGACTTAGGCCTATTCGACTTGGATTATGAAATAACAGTATCACTAATAGCCCCCCCCCCCTTCTCAAACGAGATGGGGTGGCAACCAAACTGAGTTTGTCCCAAAGAGCAAGAAAACGTGTTGAAGGCAATGCCTTAGTGAGGCAGTCAGCAATTTGATTCTCAAAGGAGACATAGTGAACAATGATTTTCTTAGCAAGAACTTGATCACGAACAAAGTGTGCATCAATTTCAATGTGCTTGGTTTGAGCATAGAAAAGCAGGTTGGAGGCACGAATAACATGAGCAGCCAAAAACTTTAAAGAAATAGTAATCTGGCTTTTTGCTATATAAACACTCAAATAGTGACTGGTAATTCAAATTAGTTCCTCTTCTCCATAGTCTAAATCAAATTGGCACAATGAAGCTTGACCGAAACAACTTTCTCATATGGTATTCTCTTGTTTTTCCTATTTTGCGTGGGCATTGACTTGATGGTTTTGTGCTAGGAACAAAGATGTGTCCCCAATAATTTGTTCTTGATGATGAAAATGTCATCGTCAATCCCGCATATGAAGATTGGTTGGCTATAGATCAAATACACTTCAGCTAGTTGCTTAGCACCATGGCTTCTGAGATTCAAGTCAGATGCTTCATTGTAAAACTTCTGCACAGATATGGCACAACATTCAAGATCTTATTGGCACACAAATGAAATCAAAGATTATTTAGCGAAAAGGTGATTTTCAATGCACTCGAAAAGGTATGATGAAAATGGATGAGTATCTGGATAAAATGAAAACTCTGTCTGATCAACTATTGTTGGCTGGCCATTCAATTAGTCGAGAGGATTTAATCCTTCAAACTTTAGCTGGACTTGATGCAAAATACACACCTATTGTCGTTCAATTGAATGAGAAAGATGGACTCACTTGGCTTAAGATATAGGCTAAACTCCTGACCTATGAAAGTCGCTTGGATAGTGTTCATCATCCTGCTATTTTAGATATTAATAATGATATGGCTAATCTAGCTTTTCAGTCTAGAAATCAGTCCTCAAGGCATGGTACTAGAGGTTTTTCACGAGGCCCTGATCGTGGAAACAGAGGAGGATGAGGTCATGGTAGAAGTGGAAGGTAGAACAACAACAATAATGGTAATAATAATGGAAAACCTGAGTGTCAACTCTATGTGCAATTTGGGCATGAAGTTGCTGATTGTTGGCATCGTTATGATAAAAATTTTGTTCATGGAGAATCTTCAAACTCTCGTTCTATTGATTCAACAGCCTATTTTGCTTCTCTTGAAACTTTATGTGATCCTGCTTGGTATTTAGACAGTGGAGCAACCAATCATATCACTCACACTGATCCAGATGGTGGCAAGACTCACAAACATGGTGATTTAGGTAACAAAGTTTTTGGTATTGGTTCAAAACTTACCATCAATAACATAGTTAAAAGAGTTTTACCTACAAAATAGAACTCTTCTCATCTCTTGTTAAATGATGAGCTAGTTGTTTCTAACTGTAAAAAGAACTTACTTAGTGTAAATGGTTTACTTGATAATAATGATGTGTTGGTTATTTTTCACCGTGATGGTTGTGCTGTGAAGGACCCAAGGACACTCAAGGCACTGGTAGTAAGGAGGAGATATGACAAGCTGTTCAAACTAAAGCAAGAACCCAGACTCATTTTAGATTCAATAAATGGTACCAAGAAAGCTCAAGCCTACAATGCTAAAGCTAATTTTGTCTCTTTTCAATATTGGCACCAACATTTGGGGCATAGTTCTAAAAATGTAATTAGAAAAGCTATTGGTGACTATAATCAAAAAATTAAGATGAATGAAAAGTTGAGTTTTTGTCTTGCTTGTCAATTTGGCAAGTCACATAAATTGCCCTTTTATTTGTCTGAATCCCGTGCTAAATCTCCTCTTGAACTAATACATTCTAACCTTTAAGGTCTTGCTTCTATACCAAGTATAATGGGATACAAAATTACATAAGGTTTGTTGGTGATTATAGTAGATTTGTTTGGGCCTATCCATTGAAGTTTAAACATGAAGCCCTTGGTGCATTCAAACATTTCAATAACATGGTTGAAACCTAGTTTGATAGAAGAATTAAGATTTTTCATAGTGAGTTTGGAGGAGAATTCAGGAGCTTCACTCCAATTCTTATTGAATCAGGAAAGAAAACATAAACACATTGTAGAGATGGGTTTAAGTCTCCTAGCTCAAGCTACAATGTCCTTGAAGTATTGGTGAGAAGCCTTTGCATGTGCTATATATATATATATATATATATGTTATAAATCACCTCCCTACACTAGTTTTGAACTACCAGTCACCATTTGAGTGTTTATATAGCAAAAAGCTAGATTATTATTTCTTCAAAGCTTTTGGCTGCTCATGTTATCCTTGTCTACGATCTTACAACAGACACAAGTTACAATTTAAAAGCGAAAATTGTGCTTTCATTAGTTATAGCACCTATTATAAAGGCTATAAGTGCATGAATTCAAAGGGAAGAATATTTATCTCAAGACATGTTATTTTTTATGAAAATGAATCTCCTTTTGTAGGATCTTTTAGGGTCTCTAACACTTACTCTGATACTAAGAAAGAATTGGATAAAAGATATTCTCTTCACTTGATTATTATTGGTAACTGTACAGAATACATGGATAATGAATAAAAAGAATATTCTAGTGACTATGCGACAGCTGTACAAGAGAAAGATAACAAAACCCTAAACCTAATTATGGTTGGGCTTTCTGGACTTAGGCCTATGGACTTGGACCATGAAATAACACAATCACTCACATAAAAGAACTCATTAATATTTGATGAAAGCCCATAGAAGTTTTTTAATAAATATTTTTCTAATTTTACTCCGTTGCAAATTACTAAATGGCTTTTTAAATGTTGTGTCCTATTTTTTTCTTTGAAAATTAGTTTCCCGTGAGAGAATATATGCATCGTATTTGAGAAAAAATTGTTTTTATTTGTTTAAATTATATTTTTTATTGTCATTTGTTGATTGAGTATGATAACATTATATAATTCATGAAGTTGATCCTATCTAATAAAATAAAGCTTCTTGTTGTTGTTTAAATCTATATTTTTTAATAGGGGGAAGGTTGAAATAGTTTTTTTAAAATTTTAAGACATGCTAAGATTTAATGAATTAACCATGTCTCTTTTTTAATCCCGATGAGGTGGTTGAAAATCACTTATAAACAGAAACTGTACGGAGTATATACTTAACAAAAGTCTAGACGGTAGAAGTCCATGCTTGGTTGTTAATATATCATAGTTGAGATTTATATATATATATATCCATTGCGTCATTTGCAGGCGCTCATAATTTACATGAACACGCATCTATGACAGCTTAGAGCTTCCCACTTGATTTAAAATTGCACCCATTGTTGGAACTGATGTGACAACAAAGAGAAAGTTAGATAGTTAATTAAACTTGTATACACAACATATTTTTGTCAAATTGATGAATTAGAATTAGAATTAAACTTAAAGGTACGCAAGTAATTAATAATATAAGTATACAAGTTTTAGATTTAGAATAACTAAATTTGATGGTTTAGTTACAGAAAAATTAAATAAAAAATAAAATCAAATCATATTATAATTTTTAATTATTTAATTTCGATTGAAATGAATGAGTTTAGCTTTAAAGTGTATATATATATATATATATTAGTGAAAACATACTTTGGAAACACTTAAGCTTAGTTCAATTGTTACGTCTGCTTTACTCCAATAGAAAATTATTTCTTGATATATTTTTTTTATCTGAAACTTTTAAAAGATCCTACGCAAGTTTTTTTTTTTAAATATATACATATATATATATATATATATATATAGAAAATACTAACGTGTAGAATTTTCGTGCATATAATATAGGTGTTCGGTTGAATGCATTGATGCATCAAATCTCTCTTGATATCTTTTGTATCAATTATGAGATAAGATGATAGAAAACGTTCATATAGGATACATACATACATACATACATACATACATATATATATATATATATATATATATATCTCTCTCTCTCTCTCTCTCTCTCTCTCTCTCTGTGGTCCGCTCACTCCCCTGCTCTCCTCATAGTGTATTTAATTTAAACCTGTTGAGGACTTTTTTTTTTCACTTATCCATTTAATATATTTTTACTATAATATTACATTTGACATTCACCAGCACAAACTAGAAGGAAAATCGACATGAGAGAACCCCATTGCACGCCCACGTATTACTAGCTATTATTTACTTCTTGAATTTAAAACCTATAATACCAATAAGGTTAACTCTAATAGAAAAGGTTAATTTTGTTATGATGCAGTAAATCAATGTTTAAATTTTCGATTGAGAGAAGTGCTTATATTAATACTTAGTTGTGTTTCAAATTGTCTCACATATATCATAAAGCATTAAATTTATGTA